TTTTGACCTCTGGATATCTATAAATCATAAGTCTGCAACATCACCTTTTGTATCTGCTCACTTGAGAAGAGGTTGTTTGATTTCTTCCCACTTGTCCAAACGCTTCTTTGCATTCTCCACCTGCGAATTTCGTGCACCATTTAATTCTTGTAGTTCTTTTTTCTAGTATACATTTACACGATCACACACTCTATGGAACACCCTTTTTATCGTAGTAATTAAAAAGAATGAAAGTGCATACCTCTTTGTTCCAATCCGTACGAAATGTAACCCAGAGCAATATGAGTGTTTGCATAGCCGTTCCTCCTATCATGCCGGACCAAATTCCCTAGTAAACAACAATAAATTAATATCATCAGCCCTCAAAAGATGTTACCTGCACATATTTCACTCGACATCATTATGATTCAAACAAAATGTACGTGCAAACAAACTTTTGGTTAGTGTACAATATGCTGTAAAGTGTAAGCAAAAAGTGTTTGCATTTACATACCTTGACGCCAAGGTTGAATTTAAATCCAAGAAGGCATCCAAGAGGGATTCCAACGACATAGTAACAACCTATGTTTACGTAAGCCACAAACGCTTGCCATCCGCAGCCCACAGCCACCCCTTCATCAATTACAAGTACCAAAGCCCAAAATTTTTGAAAATCAATTAAAATTCAAGAAAATTGAATAAATTGAAAAACTCATATTGATTTGTCATTTTTTTTTTCTCGTCTAGTATTATAGAGCTGCACAGTAATTCTCTTCTGTCCACATGACACATGCTAATATGTTTAATAGTTGGTTTGACAAGAAATTAGCTTTCATTAGTTAATGTGACAGGAGATTAACACGATGTTCAAATGGCTAACTCTTAAGCATTGAAACATTAACAATTTTAATGAGGCTCTGTCTCTCTAGATCTGTTTTGATCTACTAGAGTTTAAATTTTTTAATGTCTTACAAATTAATTAACTCAGAATAACTGCAAGTTCACATTTTGTACAATAATAAAAGATATTCTTTATTAATAAGTGTGGAAAAAACAAAGAAATTTCTGCTGCAACATGCTATTCTACACAAGCTTGATTTACAGTATCACATATATTCTTTACTACAGGAAAGGCTAAAAAGCAAAAGACACACTCTCATTGATCAAAACCAGACAAACAAATAAATATTTTAATATAATTCCTAGAAAATCCAAAAGCCGTGCGAATTTGACTTTACCAGGAAATGCAAGTGGGAGCCTAAAAGATTATTTTGGGAAGGACAAAAGAATGAATTTATCTTAATTTATTACCGGACAAGACTGGTTGGATTCCATTTAGCAGGAGGGTGACTGCCAGCAGCGGACAGAGGTCGGACACGGCGTTTGCCACCGTCTCGCCTCCGGTGAATATGTAGCTGATGACGTGGCGCTGGTATAGAACGACGGCGGCCGCCACCACCGCCACTATGAAGGAGACAAGAGTCACAATCACCACCGAGAAAGCCGCCGACTTGGGGTGGCCCGCCCCCGTCTCATTCCCCACCCTCACGCTGCCAATTTACGAGATTTAATTATGGGGGAAAAAATTACTGACTAATTTAGTGATGAGATTTGCATTAATTAAAGTTAAATAAAGAAAAAAAAAGATACCAACGAGTTCGATTATTTTGATTTTGACAGGAGAATTTATTCTTAAACAATTATGCCGATTATATTTTATTCAGTTCAAAATTCTCTTTTTTTTTTTTATAAAAGAAAAAAAAATCTACCCTCGGTTANAAAAAAAAAAAAAAGAGCAGAGAGAGCTAAGAAATGCAAAAATAACTAAAAAACTACCAATTATATTAATGCAAAAAGATTAAGAAAAACATTAACTCAACTCAATTGTTTTGCCAAAATGTTCACAACTCAGATTATTTAGTGAACAAACTCGAATTTTACTTGGAAGAAGTGGAGCATAAGATAAAGAACAAAATATGTTATATATATTTATCTTTTGATAACCTCAATACAATACATAATGTAATTAATGGATAAACATATAGTAAATATATAATCATTTTATTTGTACTAAATAATATCCCGATCTTTAATCTGAATAGCTAATGTCGAATACATGAGATCATTAGAGGGATTAGTAAGTATAAGTAATAATTAATAAAGTAAAAACTAAAATTAGAGGTCTATTACTTAGAAGAGTGAGGCAAACCAACCTAGCTGCAGCATTGAACCCCACCGATACCATGAACATTAGGTCACTCAGCGACATACTGCAATAAAAACAAAACAATAGCAAACGCAATTATACACTCGTACGTGAAAAAATTGCAGGGCCCAAACCAAAATGAGTGACTCATTTTAAAAAAAACACAGGATCGCAAAAATTTGGCAAAATTATATTTTTGTCGTATGTCTTGGTATATCAATTTGAAGCACATCAAATTTAATTCACTATTTTTAAAAAGACATAAAAATTTACATAAGTGTAAATTTGTTGATTTTTTTCCNTTCTATAACCATTTCACTTATCGTATTAAAAATGAAATTTTGCCCAAAAATTACCATCGGTCATTGGTTGAAGTTATGGTAATTACCTATGGCCTTTATAATTAAAATCCCCCTAAATATTTCTAAATATAAAAAGAATCTCAATTTGTATTTTTTTATAAATTCGTGTATGAAACACAACCCATTATACATTTTTTTTTTTAAAAAAAAAAACATATTTATATTACAAAATATCATACTTTTTACTTATGTTATTTAAAGTATGACATTTTTAGTACGAACGTATGCGCATTTGATAAATGGCTTGGTTGGCTAAAATGTATGTGTGGCTTACTTTTTTTTCAGTTCTTTGTAATATTTAGAATTAGAAAGATAAATAGCTAACATCTGAAAAGCAATAAGTAATGAAAATAAGTGGGCAGTTGATTGTTACCACACAGCGAGTGCGTCCAAGGCAAGCTCAGGGTTATCCACGAGCCCCGCAATGAGGACTAGTACCTGAAAGTACCACGTCTCCAAGCACAACATCACCGCCGATGCAATTGACAACTTCACGAACTCCCACAGGCCGGTCAGCGCCTCCCACTTGAACCCTGTCCACGTCTCCCTGCACCTTGGGCTGGCCACAATGTACGCAAATTGGGCCCCCACAATGACCCACCACGACAGGCTCAGCACCAGGGACGCCCCCAGCAGGCCCATCCCAACCTTGTAAACCGCGGCCCAGCAGACCACCAGGTGGGCCCCCAGCGCCGCGAGTGAGATCAACGCGCCCGGCATCACGATGCTCTGCGCCTGGAGGAACTTCTGGATCGGGAAGTTGACGGCGTAGGCGAACACCTGTGGGATGAGGCCGTAGACGAAGACCGACGCCAGCGCCGCCACCCGCTCCGACTCGCCGATGAGGAGGAGGAGGGGCCGGGAGAGGAGGTAGACGGCCACGATCGGGAGGCTGAAGAGGAGGAGCACCACCGTGGCCCGTTGCATGTACACGCCGAGCATATCGTACCGCCGCGCGCCGTACGCCTGCCCGCACAGCGTCTCGACGGCGCTGCCCATCCCCAGCTGCGGCGGAGGGAGGGGAGGAATCAGCAATTCGAAAATTCAAATTGATTTTTGGAATTAGGGTTAAAATTAAATTAGTCTTACGAGGAGGCCGTAGGCGAATAGCTGGATGCCGTCGTTGCCTAGGGTGGCGGCGGCGAACTGGAGGTTGCCGAGGTGGCCGGTGAAGATGCGGGTGGAGACGGACATGGCGTTGTTGATGAGGTAGGTGGCGACGGAGGGGGCGGCGAGGCGGAAGAGGAGGTTGAGCTCGATCCACGTGGCGGTGGAGAACCGGTCGAGCCAGGGAAGGTCGGGGTCGGAGAGGACCTTCTCGAGGCGGGTGGTGGAGTGGGCGGAGGATGGCGGCGTTCGCTTTGAGTGGTCAGAAAATTGTCGGTTAAGCTGATGCTCCTCCATGCCTGCCAAGCTTCTTCCTATCTTCTCTCAATTGATTTCTGTATTTCAGAGAGATATGGAACAAATTTTCCGTTTGGTCAAACCATAAACACGGCGTACATTTCTTAAAATATAGATAATTTTATTTAAGAAAATTATACTCTTAAAAATGATATACACATTTGATAGTATGTAATTTTGTTCAATACCTTAATTAATCAACCGAGCTTTCCGAGAGGACAAATTCAATTCTACTACCGTAGGCCGTTNAAAAAAAAAAAAAAAAAAAAACAAAAAAAAAACAGAAAATCAATGAGACTTCTGTCATCACCAGCGAATTTTGGGAAAGAGAGAATGAGGTGTGAAGCAGATGAGAGAGAGGAGGTAGGAATCCCAGAGGCCGCAACAGTACAAAACAGTTTTCATTTGTTGTCAATCGTCAATGATTAGTTGACCCCACAAAAGTAATAATTATTTGGAATGACAAATATTCTTTGGCGCCGACTATGTGGACTTGGACCAATGTTTACTGAGCTCTCCGATGATTGGATTTATATGGGAAAACACAAATTGTTGCAACTCAAAAGAAATTAAGATAATTTCAGCTGAGGGGAAGCTCCATGAAGTTCGAAATCATGTAAGCAGGTATAAAGCAACAGCGAATTCGGTAACACGTCTGGGCGTGCATGACTTGAGCAGAGTTAACAAATGAATCAGGTGGGAGGAGCCTCCTTTGGGTTGGATTAAATTAAATTCTGATGGTTCCTTTAATCCTGAAACAGGGATGGCTACGCAGGCGGCCTTCTTAGGAATTGCAATAGTATTTTTCTTGGTGGGTTTATAATGTATATTGGTTCCACTGAGCGGAGATATGGGGACAGTTCCAGGGCCTTCATCAAGCTTGGGATCTTGGTTACCGACAAGTGATGGCTTGACATCAAGAGTGTGGTGGATTTGGTTTTGGACCAGGATACCTCTCTAGGAGTGCATGGTAGCCTAGTACGGGCTATCCGTGATATGATGGGATGGAGTTGGAGATTAGAGTTGTGACATGTCTTTAGAGAATCTAATTTCTCGGCGAATTTTTTAGCTCTTTGGCCGCAACTTCTCCAGGAGGCCTGTAACGCTTCGAAGTTCCATCGGTTGGTTTAAGAACTTGGTTAGAACATGATATGTTTGGTGTAGCCTACTCTCAGTGATGTAGTTCCGTTGTTTTCTCCCCTTTATGTAGCAAAAAAAAAAAGAAAAAAAAAAGAAAAAAGAGAAATTAAGTTGGGTGGTCATACTCATACTTTCTCCACTAAAATATATTCAGCATAATATTATAACTTTATTTAGTGTGAAACGAAGTGAGAGAGTAAATAGAGGACATAAAGTATGTTTGAAGAATACCAAAATTAAAAGCAGAAGCAATATAAAAACAAATATGTTTTCGGAGGGCGTCTCACTATCTTTCAGATCTCTTTCATTAATAGTGCACAATGTACAGTGATGAAGCTCCACCAAATAAAACTCGGCTGAAGTTGACACTCTGATGATCAAGTTGAGGGTTCTAGGAAAGGTGGAGATCATATGTAATTGTAATTGTAGATAACATATATATATATATATATAAAACCATAAGCATGCTCTTACCCTCTATTTATAGTGGTGACCTTACCCTAATTTCAGTTTTTGGTGCCTAAAAAAGGACTGCCTGAAAGTACAACGGGCTGCTCGAAAGGGAGAGCTGGTTATCCGGGTGAGTTGCCCAAGATTTGTTCTTATTTTAGTAACTAGAATTATCTTGATGCATTCGCAATTGATCATACCCTTTAGGTCTTTTGGATTCGGGTCAAGGTACCCTCTAAGACTTATTCAGTTGAGTGGTTTGGCTCGTTATGGCCATTGTCCCTTTTGGTCACTTTAGGTAACTTCAACACCCTTTGGGTCGAGTAACGCTTAGGTTATTCGGGTTTAATCTAGAACCCAGGTCATCCAGGTCGAGTATGACACTTAGGTCATTTGGTTCACTTATTTAGGTCGCATATTGGAGATTTGGGTTGCATTTTAGATCATTAAGTCGCATTTTTTGAGCCTCAGGTCGTTTATTAGTGCTTCGGGCCGCGACTGGAGCCTCAGATCGTATAATAGAGCTTTAGGTTTAGCATAATTTGGGTCTATTTTTTGTATTTAGCATACGTTTGGATCGTCTGGGTCAAGGGATCTTTATAGGAGATCACAGTCCAGTCTCTCCTGGCTGGGTTGGCTAAACCGAGTGATCTACATTTAGCTGTACTCCTATCTATATCACCTAGTCCTCCCTCGAGACCTACTGTGTGTGAGCTCGTCTTGTAGCTCGCTAAAAAGTATAGTAACTGGAGTGACGTGTCTTGTCGAGTATGAAAGGGTTGACAAGTGCATTAAATGTGGATGTGAAAGGACGCCTTGTGTCTGATAAAAAATACCTCGTAATTGATTGAACTTTTGTGAAAATACTCAACAATAATTCAACCATAATAGTCAATTCTAGTTTAACGAAACTTTATTATATTGTAAAATACTCAGTAACTATTTTAAAAATACAAGAACCAAATAAAAAATAAATTGAAACTCGCATTTAAAAATGGATAAATTCACATAACTCGCCTTAACATACGCACAAAGATTCATCAATATACACTTTCACGCTAATATGGTTGAATTATGTACACGCAACAAATATTATTATATTCATGTACGGAATTAAAAATTTAGATTGATCGAGTAAACAAAGTAAAAGAACTAAATCCAAAAAATTACTAACAATTCTTATCATTAAGTTTATCATGATTATTTCATGTAAATGGAAACGAGATAAAAATATATAGTTGTAAAGAATAAATGAAAATACAACTCAATTATTTTAATCAAATAATTCTATTATATTTTTCTTTTAATAAATAAAAACAATGGATCCCTCATAATTTGTGGGTCATGGGCTGTCGCCTAGCTGGCCCTGCCCCAAGGTATGAATAGAATCAAGATGCACTACATTTAGACCCGAGGAGCCTCTCGAACGACATAAGGAAGATAGGCTGACTTGATTGTGGAGGATTGTTGTCTTGGTGAAAACAACCTAAGCAGTAGGCACACCAACAATATTCACATCTTGAGCATAGAGTTAGGTGCAGTAGTGAAAGTACTTTTCATGTTTTTACAAACTAGTTCAATGATCATGTACTTTATTATGAATTACAGAACTTAGGCTACTTGAAGATTGTGGGTTGCTTCCAGTGCTGCTGCAAGCCTGCAAATGGTATGATAATTATGATACACGTGTCGATTACAAGGTGGGTCACGTCTCCAAAACAACGTAATTTCGTACTCTTAAGTCNGACTGTGTTTGTTTATAAACTATTTAACTCATACTCAAACTCTAACTTAACTTTAACTCAATCTAACTATTCTCAATATTATCAATATAACTAAATAATATCAACTAATCATTCTCACATATTATCAACTTCAATTCACTATTCATTCACTCACTTTTGTTTGCAAGCTTTATCAACTATATGATACCACCACAAATGAAAATAACTTCCTGAGTAATTTTAATCAACTATCACTTCACATTATCTTTCTCATATTTTTACATTAAATTAACTTTAATTATTTTATTTTAAATAAAATTTTAATGTATACTCAAAATCTCACTAACAACTAACTATATCAATTTTTTCAATATTAACCATGTTTAACAAAAAAAAAAGAAGAGTATTTTGAGCAGATATATTTGTATACAAGCACGCCTTTAGTTTATGCAAAAATGGCATCTCATCTATAATTAACTAAAAAATTTAAAAAGAATAACGAAAAAACGGCAAATTGATATAACGTTCTACTTCATGTGCATATATCCTCAATAGAAATTACCAATCAACTAAGCACACCCCAAACTCGTTGTTTGTCCATGCTGCAGCCACTATAACTATTTCAAAAAAAAATATTTTTTGCAAAAACACTAAAAAAATAATATTTTTATTAAATTAGCCCGGGTAAATTATAAATCCTCATACCGCCTTTCTTTGAATGGAACATAGCTTTCGACCAAAGGGAAAAAGTCCACCACCGTATCAGTAGTCACACCAGCAATCTTCTCCAACCTGTTCCTTGCCCAGTCGTAGTACATGAGATCACGCTTCTCCTCGTCTAGAAGAATTATTTTATCACTCCCAATATGGTTCCATCTATAACTCATACGAATGGGGATGTCAAACGTGGACACTATGGACCACTCCCATTCCCCCCATACGTTGACACCCCACACCCAAACTTCAAAACTATACAAAGGATCAGCAACACAATTTGACCAGCGAACAATAGCACCAAGTGACCCATGATATTCCACGAGCTTGAAAAGATGAAATACATTTCTTTCGAGGTTTTTGGTCGGTGGCATGGGAATAGACCAAGAAGCAAACTTCTCACTAGCAAAGTCAAAAGACATAATATTACCACCAGGCACTGCGATATTAAGCCAGTAATAAGAGCCGTTTATGTGAACCCCATGGCTTGGATAAGTGTCAGGACCAATGTTGATTGATATCCACGAATTAGTTGAGAGTGAATACAGTTCCGCCTCAAGAGGCATCAAGGGGTTGCGATTGTCTTGATTAGGGTCCCAAACCTTATGCCTGAGAAATCTTATCACCTTGTAGTCCTCAGACGCCGGATCAAACCCAAAACCAAAATAACCGTAGCTCAACTTCGAAAACCTATTTAAGAAAATGGCATATATATTATTATTATTTTTCAGATTTTTCTATCATAAATAAATATACTTGTTAAAATGTTCAAACCTAAAATATTATTGAAGAAGGAATGAAAAATTAAAACTCAAGCATTGTTCAACCACAATCAAAACAAAGAGAGTCTCAACTCACAAAATGCGCCTCAGAGCAACTTAAGCGGGGTTTATTTATTCACATTGAATTTCTAAGAACTTAGAGAATTTAGAAATCTCAAACCAATACACACGTCTCGATTTTGAGATTTTTATAAATAGTGAGGTATTCAATTGAAATTTTAAAAAGTCCTCTAAAAATATTGAACTTATTTAACACTTAGATTTAGTCGGACGGGCCGCACAACAAACTAATATAACTTGTTAGTTTGTAATCGGAATGCAAACAAATAGAATGGAAGCGAATATTCAACTATTTATAGCCGTATTCAATTCATTAACGAATTTAATTTGTGATTCGTGTTCGATTCAATTAAGCTGGTCAAATATATTTGAGTCGATTCAAAATTAATTTTAAGAAACTAGAAATAATATTTATTAAATATAACTTTTTGAATATAATACATATTTTTAAATATAAATGTATGTAGAAATATACTTTTTAATAATTATATTTAATTTAATATAGTTTCAAAAATATAAATATATAATATTATTTTATATTTATATTTAAGGTATATTATATAAATAAAAGTTAAACATTTTTTGCTCGACACACCACAATATCTATATATATATATAATAAGAATTAACATTTTTTAAAAATAGTAAGCAAAAAAATAGGGAATATTAATTGCATTCCATTTTTGGTATTTTTTTTTAATTTTTTTAATAAAAAATCAAGTAGCATTTAATGTTAGAAAAAATTATGGAATTTGTTATATAGATGCATATTTGAATTTCAAACTTCAAACAAAACATGCCTAAATGTATTTTGAATTTTTTAGGGAAAAAATTTAACAAACACGTTAAAGATGTCATACAATACATATATTTATATATATTATCTTAACATATAGGTTAATTAGTTTTATATCTAAACAATATATATTTAAACAATATATAAACAAATATAATAATTTATCGTACAATACAGACAAATATATAAACAATATATTTATATACAAATATAAATAACAAATCTATACTTATATTAAAGGGGGTACTATTTACTAAATTAAGTAACCAGAAAAGTCAACAGCATTTTATTGCATTACTATTTCCGTATTATACTATATAAAAGGATATTCTATTTACTACATTTACTATCCTGAAAAGTCAACTGCATTAAATGTCATTACTATTTTGGTATTATAATATTTTATTTATTTAATTGATTTATTTATTTGTTTTATTTTAAAAAGGTAATTATAATAAAAATATTTTAATAATAAAAAAATCAAATACCAAATAAAAATGTACACTTTGACTTATTTGATTATATTTGGTATTTGATTATACCAAATATATTCCTATTTAGTATATACATCAAATACTTACTAAAGTATTTATTTGTTTTATTTGTCAAAGTTAAGTATAGATTTGTTTATATTATCAAATCAAAAAAAATATTAAATCCATATTGTAAAAAAAAATCATATAATTTTATAACAATTCTACTACACTATTTAACAATATTTCTTTTTTATTATATAATAAAATAATAATTAAATATTATATGGTGAACAACAATAAGTAAAACTGTTACTTTCTCTTATATCAAGGGATAAATTTATATGCTAAAATTAAATTTTTATTAGTATAAATGTTTTAGTGAGATAATATATTAATTATTTTACAAGCTAGCCCTAACATGCTCATATTTAATGTTTTAAAAGATGTAGAAAAAAAACTTATAATAACTCTATTGTTTTTTAGACTTAAACGTTGATTAAAAGAGGTAAAAATTCCTAATTTTTTAGACTTAAACGTTGATTAACACCATAGATTGAGAATTTATATTTAGTAAAATTCCTAATTGTAATAAAAAAATTAATTTTTGCTATATTTTAGAATATCTTTAAATTCACCTATAAAAAAAAAAGAAAAAAAAAACTACAATGAAAAAAGCAACTCAGCTATATATGGATTTGTTGTACTCCTCAAATCACATTCACAATTTGGCTACAAGGAAAGGAAACTCATTGATTAAAATATTATTTTGTCAGTAGTCTTAATGTACAATAGACTTTAAGACTCCACTTGAATATTATAAAACTTTTATTGAACATTGTACAATTTCTTGCGTATTATAAACTTTTATTGAATATTGCATCTTATAATATAATATTCTCCAAATAAATATAACTCGTGCTTCGCACGTACTATATATATCCCGTATATTTTTCTTTATTCATGTATATAATTATAAGCCTGAATAAATAGCATTAAAATTGTGCATTCCGTGCATCGCACGGGCTCTGTACTAGTAGGTATTCATTTGATTTGATGAAATGATAATAAATATTAAAAAAAAAAATCTGAGTTCCAGAGCTTTTCGTACATAGTTTTATGATCATACATAGTTTCTTTATCCAATTCCCTGTTGGATAAAAACAAAATTATTTTCAACAACTAAGACGTAATTGCAATAGTACCTTGGGTCCAAGGATGCCGGAGATGGAGGAAGGATTTTGATTTGGCTGGTGGTGGGATTCCATAGAACCTCTCCTAGAGGCGTTCCTGTGTAGTGTGGATCATCAAAAAAAAGCAACAACAAACCATTGCAACTAGCAAAGGGGTAATGATAACTGTTTGGATATGGATAATCATTATAATTTTCGATTTTATGGCCTCTATTGTCGATCGAAATTGCCAAGTACTCTAATGGTCGTCCACGCAGAGCCACCAGCAACTTGGTCTTATTATTTGAACTGAAGGGGAAAGGACCCTGAGAGAAGTTTCTGCACAAATTTAAGAGGGGTTTCAATTTTGATTTTAGATTGAGAGACATGATTGATTGCCAATTTGTCTGTAAAAGAAGAAAAGAAACACTAGGCGGCGCTGTATGTCAATGTGGGCATTGTGGACTGTTCTTACTTGTTCAAGAAGAAAGAAGAAAAGAAACCCTCCTAATTTTTTATTTTTTATTTTTAACTCGCCTCCTCTGCCGGAAGATTCTAGTAAATATATATATATCTTGAAAAACCCTAGTAAAACTCACTCGCCTCCTCTGTTTCCATTTCCATTCCCCTCAGCTACTTTCCCGCAGGTTTCCCCTGCCCCAAACCCCTCGATATAAATGGCATCGGGATCGGCCCGAAACTTTCCGGCGCGCCTTTTATACTCCCTCTGCACCAGATCCGTCGGCCCCGCGCCGCCTGCAGCCCTGCTCGACGGCAATTTCCATATCCACTCTTTTTCCGCTGGAAGCGGTGGCGCCGCGCGGCTGAGGAAGGCGAAGGAGGAAAGGCCGGGAAGGAGATGATTGCGTGATTATGCAATCATCTAAGAGAAAAGTGAGCCCACAGGAGGAGGCTCCAGATAAGGAAAATGCCAAGAGACCGGCCATTACAGGGCTGCTCGATGCCTCCATCGCCTCTAGATTTCTTCGGATCCAATCATCACCCATACGTGTGATATGCTGGCCAAAGACGAGTTTGTTGTTCAAATGGCACAGCAACTTCTGGAGGCGCTCCAAGCTTCTACAGTTGTCGAGGATGGAACATTTAATGACTCTGCATTCGAGCATTTTGCTCTGGTTATGAGAATATGGAGAAATGAGGTGTTCAATTGCGGGATTCAAGGAATGTTTGTCAAGGGTTGCGTTGTTTCCGACATCATAGACAAACTTTCGAATGAAGTGGAAAATGAACAAATTGGAGAACGTATGTGCCGTATGAAGGCAGATCACAACTTGAGTGATATAATTCTCCAACTCAAAAGGCCTCCTGCTACAATGATAAGGGGACTTTTGATCATTTTACTTGGGTATTGGAGTTATAAAAAGCTGCCTTTGGGGTTTGATGAAAAATTAGTTGTGTTTTGATGGAGACTGTGGACATAAAGGGCATAAAGTTGCAGAAGATGGATATGGGATTATCGAAAGAGATATTGTGAGTGACATGAAGATTGGTTTGAAATTCGAGGAACACAGGTACACGGACTCCCATTCAGATGCTTGAAGATGAATCATTCATTGAGGAGTTGGCCCATGACTTAAAGCAAGATTCCCGCCTTTTTGGAAAAGCACAACAATGTATGGAATTCCTTCACATCTTTGATCCTAAAGATGATGGGTCTTTGTTTTCCGCAAAACTACATCATGATTTAGCCCATGAAGTTTTGGAGGATCCCGATTTTATTCAATTGCTTGTCAAGAGTCTTCAGAGGGACTTTTACGGCCGTGGGTTAGTAGATAACAGATATGGCAAACGAGCTAAGGTTAAGAATGATGATGTGTTGGCTACAGTTACAAATATCGTTAAAGATCTTGGCTGCCATCAATACAAGGATCAGATTGAAAAGAACGAAGTTTGTGCTGTGAGAGTTTTTTTGAGTATTTTAATCGTGCACTGGGTGTACGATGATGTGCTTAAGAAGGTTAATGCGAACTTTGTGAATATGATCAAGCGAGACTGATTGCAAGAGCTGATGCTTGGAAAGCTACGGGTTATGATGATGTAGAAGCTAAAATCTGTTATGTTACTAGATTTGCTGGTGATTTGAAGGGCTTGAGGGAAGAGTTGGATAAAGTATACGGTACTAGACCTTATAAGCACATTTTTTATGAGCTTAAGATAATGCAATTTAGGCCGGAGGTTAGTGCTAGAAGAAAGCAGTTCGACGTCAAAGTGAAAATTAAAGCACATTTGTACAACGGCTTGTGCCCATGTTCCACTGGCAAGACCATCTAATCCATGAACATGTTGCACGATGACTAATTTGTTGGCTCTGAGCTATGTGTATCAACTTTTTGATTTACATGTTACTATATATGATAGGCTGCATATTTGAAGTTGTGAATTTTAAAGTCCATCAACATCATGAGTTGCATGATGACTAATTTTTGTAGGCTTGTGTCAACTTTTTCCCATTTACACTATGGATTCTAATGTTTCTGGGATTTAATTCTCGTATTATTAATTTTGGAGGATAGTTATTTTCTTGTTAAAA